AAGTCTGAAAACAAAGGAAACGACCCCAGCATTGTGATAGTGCCCAAGGACGGCACGGGATGGGCAAACAAGCAGGAGCAGCCCGACCCAAAGAGGTGAGCACAGGGCTGTGAGCGGGCGGGTGGGGCGGCCCCTCCCCTACTGCTGCCAAGTGCGCTCTGGCTCCCCTGCATTTCTCTGACTTCTGGAGCCGGCACAGGAGAGTTTCTGTGGCCGGCTTGTTCCCAGTGACCAGTGTGCCCCTGTGCATTATTTGGTGAGGACTCTTCACCCCAGAGCAGCGTCTGCAGTGACTCAGAGCCAGTTCCTGGAGAAGCCAGTGTGCTGAGCTCCAGGTGGGGAAGGCAACAGCTGCTGGTGCTCCACGCGGCCCGGGCTGTCCGGAGCGAGATGGACTCCTCCTTGCCCAGGGTGGGCATGGCAGCGCCCTGGAGGCTCACTGCTGCCAGCGTGGTGCCTCAGGGGCCACGAACATGGTGATGAAGGTCTGAAACGGCCTCCATGTGGCTCTGGGGCCTGGGCACAGGACCCAGGCGAGCCCTTTTACTGTGGGTTCCCTGGCTCTCTGGCTACTGAGGAGGGCGTCCAGAGGAGAGGACTCGTGCTAGGAGGGAAGCCTCCTCTGGGTCTTGCCTTTGGGGAATGAAGAAAGCAGCCTGGTTCTTCTGCCCTGTCTGTCTCCGGGGCCTTGTGCCGCTGTGGGGAGCCAGATGGTGAACGTGACCAGACGCAGCCTGCTAGCCAATTGTCCGGGCCGTTGCTGGAAGTGCCTGGGGAAGCTGGGACAGCCGCCTCCCGGGTTGCTTAGGGCTGTTGGTTGGCAGAACAAGTGGGGCCTCAGCAGTCAGCCCCACCTGTCCTTTCCAGCAGGACCGTCTGGCAGCCTGGCCACACCTGGAAGAGTGTCCTCCCTCTGCTTCCCGTAGGAGTAGGACTGGGCTGTAGGGGTGGTGACCAGACAGCAGTGAGGAATCCCTGGGTAACGTGGGTCGTTAGCACAGGGCTTGGCACAGAGGAGGGGTGTGGTGGAGGCAGACTGTTGCCATTGGCCTACTCCGTGTGTGCCCTGCAGCCCTGCAGCCCTGCAACGAGACCTTTCAGTGAGAGCCTGCAGTGCCTCTGCTGCAGAAGTCTGGAGGGCCAGGTGTCACTCACTTCTTCACCCTCTGCCAGGGCGGGTGGAGAGGGAGGGTAGAGCAGGCAGCCACCCTGCCACCTGGGCCTCGGCCTTCTGCCCCGAGACGTAGTGCTTGGGTCTGGAACACTGTCTTTTAAGTAGGCGTGAGATGAGGACCAGTGGCCCTCGCTTTGCCTCGGTTGAGAATGGCTGGCCACTTGGCGAGGTGAACGTGGAGGCGTGCATCTGCCCAGAGCTTGGCTTCAGCTGACAGATAAGGCATGGTCATGGTGGCTCCTCGCCAAGTGGGTTGCTGCCCGTCTGCCGAGCAGCACACTGAGGAGAACTGACTGAGGGCTCTGCTGGGGCAGAAGCCGCTGCTCCAGAGCCTCACTGCCCTCAGGAGTGTGCTGACCATCGGCCACAGAGGGCACATAGAGGGTCTTTTAAACTTTAAAACATCTTTTGATCCAATAATTGTTTCTAGGGTCACATGCTACTAAACTGCTTACAGCGTACAAAGATTAGTATGTGTACAAAACACTCAACTGCAGTTACCTGTGCGTGGGCCATAATTTAACCAAATTAGAGACTGGTTAAATTATGGCCCAAGTATATTGTGTCCTCATTAAAAAGACGGTAGAACTGGGCATAGTGGCATATGCCTATAATACCAGCCGCTCAGGAGGCTGAGGCAGGATGATTGAAAGTTCAAAGCCAGCTTCAGCTACTTAGGCCCTCAGCAACTTAGCAAGACCCTTTCTCTAAAATATATATAAAAGGGCTTGGGAAGTGGCTTAGTGGTTGAACACCCCTCAGTTTAGTCTGTAGTAGTAAAAATATAAAGAAATATATTGAAGAAGGTAGATCAATATGTATTCTTATGAAAAAATGTTCAGGTTCATAAAGTGAAGAAGAGGTTATGGGAGTGTAGGTACAGGGCCATCCTACTTGTGTTAGAAAAATACAGTGTTAACATACGTATAGGAAAATCTGCCTGGAGTTTCCGTCTGGAGGATGAGATCGTGACAAATTCCGTTTCAGATATATGTATAAATTTATTTTTACTATGAGCACTTATGTTTCTCATACGCCTAGAGAAGGCAGGCACTCTGCTGGTATCTTGAAGCAGCTGCCCCCAAGGAGGTGTGGTCCGGGCTCAGCCCCTCCCACCAGTGACTTGGTTTCCTTATGGGCACGGCTCCCGTTGCCTTCCTAGAGCTTATCTGCAGCGTGTGGTCAGCTTGCAGACTGCAGCCTCTGCAGGAAGGCAGCATGCCGCCCTGTCCTGCACAGCGTCAAGCCTGTGCCCCTGCCACAGCTGGGTTCCCCTTCCGTCTGCCTGCATGGGCGTCTACTGGGAAAGTGGATCTTCGCTGGCTGGCAGAGGCCTGGTGGCTGGTGTGGAGCTGCCTCCTGTGGCTCTGGGAAGCACAGGGCCTGGTCAGGTGGCCTGCTGTACCTAACCCCCAGCACGGGTCTTGCCTTTCTCTAGTTCCAGTGCGACGGCCTCTCAGCCGCCGGAGTCGCTGCCGCAGCCGGGTTTGCAGAAGTCTGTCTCCAATTTGCAGAAGCCGACACAGCCGAGCAGTCAGGAGGTGAGTGCTGAGGACCCCATCCTGATTCACCCTGCACTGTGGCCCTCCATGTTCCTGCCCTTGGGCAGACTGAGGAGTGGCTGAGAAACTGGTGGTGGCAAAGGAAGCCGGCCTGCAGTGTGGAGGGTCCCCAGAGGCAGCCGGTGCAGTTGTTCCTGGGTTCCTACACAGGGTAGCTCCGTTTCCCCAAACTGCTGCTCTGACATGAGTGTAGTAGGAATTCAAAAAGTACCAGGCCACAGAAGGGCTCGCTGTCAGGTGAGCTCCTTTGTGGAAGCCCTTCTCAGCACTGAGATGTGTACTGTGCCTCTAGGGGAGGGATGTTGGGGGTGGCATTCCCAGGCTGATGGTCCTGGAAGCCTCTCTCAGCTGAATGCCTCTGAGCACTGATGTCTCTGGGAACACGCTTTAGGAGACAACCAGCCATGGTCCTTTCAGATGTTCTTCTAACACGTCATAACCAAGCAAGAGGTCACAGTGCTCCTGGCGCGTGGGGCCTGGCCATGGGCTTGCAGAGATCTGCAAGGTACACTATACCTAGTGGCAACAGAGAGGGAGGGGGAGTCTGAATTTTTTAGAAGAAGAAGAAATGTTACAGATACCTGGCACTCACCAGCCCTGTTGACGGCTTGATTGTTCTCTCTCTGGGTGACCTGGGTCTGCAGTGCCATCCCCTGACTGCCATACCTGCTGGTGGGGGCGCCTCTTGCTTTGCTGGGTATCCTCCTCCACTCAACTCTGACCTGTGCTCTTTGAAATGAAAAACACAGAGGAAAAAGAACCCTGTTCCTGTGAGACTCCATATTCCCTGGCCTCAATTCACTGGGGCCTGTTGACATGGAGATGTTCAACATCCTTTCTTTTTCTCAGAATTTGAAACTGAGATTGTGGTGCCACGATGTTTCAACCTGGTTGTATTGAGCTTGGTAAACATACATGTGCTTGCTCCTGGGTGCAGTGGTGTACTTGTGGGCCCAGCTTCTCAGGAGGCTGAGGATGGGGGATTACTTGAGCCCATGAGTTTGAGGCCAGCTCAGAGACCCCACCCCTGGACATGGGTAAGGTCCTGGGCATGTGTAGAAGAGAATTCCTACAGGACCTGGGCTGTGGCCAGGTGGAGGAGCCCTGTCCCAGCACTGTACACAACCCACCACATCCTGTCTTCCCCTCTTGTTAGTAGCTACTGAGTCTTCTGTCTCATGCAGAGGAGAAGTAGAGGAAGAACCTATTGATTTGTAACTTTGAGAACATCTCAGAGTAATTCTAGTTATTTTGTTTGTGGAATAGAATTCACTGGCAATATCAGCACCCCATCTCGGTCCTATAGGCTTCCCTCCAGTTGGGGCCTCTGGGTGCGGGTGGGGAGTCACCCTGTGGATGCAGACACCAGTGGAGGTGTGGGATTCAGTGTGGGGGAGGAGAGTGAGACCTGACCCTGACCCTGCTGACTGCTGGATCTGAAGGCTCCCCGGCCCCCAGGATTGTCCAGCCCCAATGGCACTGTCCCCCTTAGGCTGAGGCACATCCTTTATGTGGATGTGCCTCAGGCAGACACCCAGGCAAAGCACGCAGGGCAACTCAGATAAAGACCTGACCACCTCTGTCAAAGCCAGGAGGATGGTTTTCCTGCTTGGAGGAGGATGGGCTGGGAAGGAGGTGGATGGAAGGGTGGTTATTTAATGTGTCTCATCCAGTGTGTGGCGGGATTGACATGCTACATTTCCCTTGACCTTGGGAAAGGGGCAGGCTGTGGAGTCCAGCGTTGGTGGGAAGGGCAAATGGGCTCAGCAGTTGGAACTTGAAAGCCTTTGCACTCAGGTGGGCTGGGCACAGACCCTGGTCCTCACCCTAACTGGGGTTCTCTCTCAGCCATATTCTGGACATGAACCCTGGCTGGGCTGTGTATGTGAGGGTCACCCATGCTGGGTGTGCCTAGCAGCATGCCTGACCCTCCTGAGCTGTCGGCAAAGGCTGCCCCATAGGGCTGAGGCTGGTAGGCAAGTCCAAGTTAGTAGGGGAGGAGGGCTGTCAGGTGGGGGCCCTGCTGTGTGGAATGACAGGTGCGCTGGGTTTCCTGGGCGCCCCTTGGTTAGCAGTGGCACAGCATTTGAGAAATGTGAAGAATTGGGGTTTGGTCCATGCCTCTGTAGCAAGGCAGAGTCGCTCTGTGGGGGCACCAGGGACGGCCTGATGGAACATTGTAGAGCAGGGGAAGAAGGCCCCGTGGGTCTGCATCTGGCTTGGTGGGATAACCAGCCATGTGACTGTGAGCCGGTCACTGCCCTGTCCTGCTCCTTCCCTTTAAAGGGACAAGGCAGGTTGAGTCCCTGCAGATCCTGCACTGAGAGAAGTGCCGTGCAGAGAGCTCAGGTTGTTAGATCCTGCCCAGAACATGATCCCTGTTCTATCTGCAGAGGGCTTGGATCTAAGGTGCCAGCATCTCAGTGCAATGCTTTTTTTCATTGTTGTTGTGGATCTGGGGATGGAACCCAGGGCCTTGTGTGTACTAGCACTTGCTCTGCCTGAGCCCCACCCTGCCTTCTCAGCACTCTGGCCTGCACACTTAGTCACGGGGCTCACTGAGCTAGCTTTCCTTATTTCCTTCCTTCCTTTTCAGAATACAAATTCAGTGCCAGGTGGACCAAAGTCATGGGCACAGCTGAATGGAAAGCCAGCAGGACACGAAGGTGGTAAGTGTGTGCAGGTGTGCGTGTGGCCCTGGTCTGTGGGGAGCCCAGGGGCTGAGTTCTTTCCCGACTGTTCTGGTTGGGGCGAGGCACCCACCTGCTCTGTGGAATCTCTTCTCCAAGTCTTCATGTTCATGGTGCCCTGGCCTTTGCCAGTGGTGGAGTTGCTACTTCTGCAAAAATGTTGCCTCTGACTCCAGTGACTGTCATCGCTGGAGACGTTCCTCTTGAATGTCCCAGACCTAGCTGAAGCCTGCTGGAGTCGCATCGATGCGCCTTCTGGGTGGGAGCTGCTGGTGGAAGGCTTCCTGCCCGCAGCCATAGTGTGCCCAGTGGAGGTGGCACATCCTGCCTCATGCCCCGCCCCAGGGGTCTGTTGGGTGGGGCCTCGTGTCTTCCCTGGTGGCCTCCTAGTGCCACCTGCCAGCACAGATGCCCACAGCATGGCTTGCTTGGAACCACTTCAGGGCAGGGGGCCTTCAGCGTGTGGAGCAGGAGAGCAGACGTGGGGTGATGCTGGTCTCAACTGGCTMTCTGTGTCTTTCTGGTTCTCTCCACAGGTTTAAGGGGCTCAAGCCGACTGTTATCCTTCTCTCCCGAGGAATTTCCGACGCTGAAAGCAGCTGGAGGGCAGGACAAGGCTGGCAAAGAAAAGGGCGTCTTAGATCTGTCGTATGGGCCAGGACCAAGCCTCCGCCCTCAGAGTAAGTGAATGGCCATGTCGTCCTGCTCCCCCTTCCTTTCTGCCCTCTTAGAGGGTGTCGGAGCTTCTGGGCCCCAGGCTGCCTCCACCAGACCCATGTTCTGCTGGACTTCTTCTCTAGGCCCTCCCTGCCTGTCTTGCCTTTGGGTTAGGCCAGGCCTGTCCCCTCCTGTCTGTCTGCTGTGCTGGGTATTTGTATCAAGGACATGCCCAAGGCCAGCCCACTGGAGTCCCTGGTTCCAGAGCTTCTTTCTAAGCCAGTTCTTTCTAGACCTAGTGGAGCCTGTTGGAGTCACTTGGGAAGTTAGCTTCCAGCCCTCTCCAGTCAGACCACACTCTCCACATTCTGGGGCTACTGTGCAGCCAGCCCACACTACTGCCCTCCGCTGGTGTCTGGCACGGGGCCTGCGGGACTGTGGCAATGCTTGCTGCAGTTGGTGCTTCCTGGAGGCCTGGGGTGGCTTGAGGTTTGGGTGTTTAGGCCAGGGATGCTCAAGTACCTCCTAGGTTCTTGCAGCGGAATGGGCTGTTGTTTGCTTGTCTTGAGTAATCCCCAAGGCCTTTCCTGTTGCTGACTCTGATGCCAGGGCACAGTTGTCCTGTGAACTCCATGACCACTGGGCTTCTCTGCTTAGGACAAGGACTTTTCAGTGGCCTGCAGGGGTTTATTTTGTTTGCTGCAAATATATAACCAAGTTGTGTAGAACAGAATTGTGTCTTTCTGGGATGAATTCAGATGAGTTGCTGTGTAGGACTATGAAAGTGTGGGACTAGAAGCAGCTTCTGGAATTAGTTCCTTCTCATTTGAAAAGATGAGGATGTGGGTGGCCCAAAGGGTGACCTCGCTTGCCTGGAATCATCTGGCAAAGTGGGAGCAGCCTGGCTGCCTGGCTCACCTGGTTTCAACCCCTAACCAGAAGCTGACTGACCAGAGTCCTTCCACCTCTCCAGTGCCTCCCTGGCCCGTACAGCAGTCCCCCTAGTCTGCAGTTTCTCTCCACAGTTTGTTGTCTGTGGGCAGCCACCTCTGAAACTACTACTGGAGGTTTGTTTTGTTTTTGTTGTTTTGCTGGGTTCAAAATCCAGGGCCTCATGTGTGCTAAGGCAAGCAGTGTACCAGGGAGCCACACCGCAGCCCTAGACTGCAGGTTCTGAGGGAGAGGGTTTGCGTGCGCATGCGTATTATAGTGTGCTGTTTTAGTTGCTCTCTCTCCCTGTGCCCACTGGCAAGTTGATCTTTGTCAAGGGCAAGTGTGTGTGTCCAGGTTTGGTATGTCCATGGTTCCAGGTATTCTTTGGGGTCTTGGAATGTTCCCCTTGGATGCGAGGCTATTGTCACACCTTCTACCAGACAGACTCGTTGGGTGCTGGAGGCACCACCTTACAGAGAGACGGTCTTTGAGGTCTACCTGGGCTCTATGTACCACAGGGACTGTAAGATGCTGCTGCTAGTCAACGGGCAGCATGGGGCAGGACCCACTCTGGCTGTAGTGGAGTCCAGTGCTGAGTGCAGTCCACACAGGCAGGGCTGGTGTGTGTTGAGTAGGTCTGTGGCTGTTCTCAGGGCTTTATTTCCCTGGGTTCTGTGCTCTGTGGGGTGTGTGACCTCTATTTGGGAGAAGTCTGTGTCTGCACCTGTCCTCTCTGGGGAGATCTTATTTTAAATCTCTGACAATCTGACTTCCCTCGAAGTTTAACTTGCTGGCCAGGTGTCTGCCCCAGCCTCTCTTGGAAGACCAGATGGATGGTTCTTTTCTTTTCTTTTTTTTTTTTTTTCCCCTTCATTTTTTGGTGAATAAAGGGGTCCCCTGATCTCTGGGACCTCACAGATCCCTCCCTCCCCTCCTCTTTCCTCCCTCTTCCTGTACCCATCAACTTGCAGATGTGACAAGCTGGAGGGAGGGCGGTGGGCGAAGCACAGCTTCTGCGGCGTCTCTGAGCACCTCCCCAGCTGAGCCGGGCAGCAGGAACGCCAGTGCTGGGGACGGAGCCCCCTCCTCGGCATGTACCAGCGATTCTAAAGACCCCTCTCTCCGCCCGGCTCCTCCTGTCCGCAAAGGGACATCGCAGTTCCTGGGAAACGTGTACCACCCTCCCACGTACCATGACATGCTCCCTGCTTTTGTAAGTCCCCTGTGCGGTCCCAGCACTCAGCCATTCACATCTAGCAGAGCCCAGTTCAGTGGCCAAAAGTCCCCTTGGGCTCTCCCTCCCGGGTTCACTCCGCCCAGAGAGCCTGTTCTGTAGGTTCCCAGCAGATCTGCATTTGCCCTCCACCCTTCTCAGGTGCTGTGGCCTCTGGCCCTTGCCCGGGTGAGGGATGTTACTGGCATGGTGGTCTTTTAGATGAAGGAGAGGTGGGTGTTCCCAGACAGGGTCCCCAAGCTTACCTACCCACAGCAGGTGGGGAATGGGCCAGAGGGGAAGGGCTCATGAGGAAACCCTCAGCCTTTCCTGTTTCTTCTTCTTCCCATTATCCACTTTCCAAAACAAATTCCAATTTAAGTGGAGCTTGGAATTTGGGTCATTGCCAGAAACCCTCTTCGTTGGTGTTATGTTTCAGATGTGTTCGCCACAGTCATCAGAGAACCAGGGTGCAGTGGAACGAGGCTCCTTCCCTCTTCCTCAGCTCCGCCTGGAACCCCGTGCTCCTTTTAGACAGTTCCAGATCAATGGCCAAGATGGGTAAGTGAGCTCCACAGTACAGTGCACAGAGTCTCCTGGTGGGGCTGACACTGGAGGCCGCACAGACCCAAAGCCACTCCAGCCCCCAGGCTGTGTGGGCTGTGGGGTGGGGCGGGTTGAGGGCTTGGGCCATGCTAGAGTTCAGCACTGGGGAGGCAGAGCTTCCCACTGGGTGTTTGCTTTTTATGTATTTCTTTTAAAAGGAAACAGTGTAAATATTAGCTCAAAAATGAACCTGTGCAATGTAGGATTTATTTTTGGGAAAGTGTTTGTGCTTCCCTGTGTGTTCGCGGCCCATCATGTGGACTTCTCTCCCCTCAGGAAAGAGAGCAGGCTGGGGCTGACCCGCCCCGTCCGCCCACTGAGGCAGCTGGTGGAGCGGGCACCACGGCCCACCATCATCAATGCCGAAAACCTGAAGGGCCTGGATGATCTGGACACCGATGCTGACGACGGCTGGGCAGGTGGGTGTGGCCGGGGGGCGGGCTGGAGGCCCACTCGGCTTGCCCCTGTGGCACACTTGCCCCTGAGGAGGCAGCGGGTTCAGGCCTGTGCATCTGCATTTGCAGTTAGAGCCGGTGACTTCCTGAGCAGGCTGGATCTTCTTTTGGTCTTCACTCTTGATCTTAGAGCTGTGGGAGATTTTGATGTTAACTTTTCAAAGAACTTATTTATCTATTTATTTTTAGTTATAGATGGACACAATACTTTTATTTTACTTATTTATTTTATGTGGTCTGAGAATCAAACCCAGTGCCTCACATATGCTAGGCAAGTGCTCTACCCAGCCCCAGCCCCAGCCCTCAAAGAACTTTTGACAATGGAAAATTTTAAAAATCAAAAGGAACAAGCTTCTAGCTATTTGTCACCTAACTTCAGTAAGTACCAGCATTGCATTGTTTTTATTCCTTTATCTCTGCCCACTCTCCTCCCCAGCCTGATTCTTTGTTTTCAGCTAAGTTCTAATTACATTGTAAAAGCACAGGGTCTCCTGTGGGGTTTGTTCAGTGGATACACTTGCAGTGAGCATCCATGTGAAAAGATGGACGATTCACACCACTGGAGGATTCCCTGGGTCCCTTCTTAGTCGGTTGGCCTTCCTGACCTGACTCTACCCAAGAGGTTCCAAGTCTTCTGATTGATTTCACTGTAGACTCATTTTGCCTATTGTAGAACATCAAATGAATGGATTCATACAATTCTAAACCTGTATAATGTTTTTTTTTTTTTATTTTATTTTTTGTGTGGGATTGAGCCCAGGGTATTGCACATGCTAGGCAAGTGCTCTACCACAGAGCTACATCCCCACCCTGTATGATTTTTTTTTTTTGATAGTCATCATTCTTAGGCATATCTGTCATTACTTTCAAGTGCTAAAATGTGTTTTTATTCTTATCATTATTATTATTATTTTTTCCTTGGTACCAGGGATTGAATTCAGGGCCACTCGACCACTAATCCACATCTCTGGCCCTATTTTGTGTTTTATTTAGAGTCAGGTTCTCAGTGAGTTGCTTAGTGCCTTGTTGTTTCTGAGGCTGGCTTTGAACTCGTGATCCTCCTGCCTCAGCCTGCCAAGCTGCTGGGATTACAGGCATACACCACCGTGCTCAGCTTGAGATGTGTTTTATTGTATTGATTTACTGAAATTGTTTTATCCTTTTGAAAGTCCCATTAAGAATAGTATCTGAGCTGGGGCTGTAGCTCAGTGGTAGAGCTCTTGCCTCGCATGTGTGAGGCACTGAGTTTGATCCTCAGTACCATATACAAATAAATTTAAAGAAAGGTATTATGTCCATCTACAATTAAAAAAAAAATAAAATGTTAACTTTATGCCAGGTATGGTGGTGCACACTTGTAATCCCAGTGGCTTGAGAGGCTGAAGCAGCAGGATCACAAGTTCCAACCAGCTTCAGCACTTTAGTGAGGCCCTAAACAACTCAGTGAGACCCTGTCTCTAAAATACAAAATAGAGCTGGGGATGTGGCTCAGTGGTCGAGTGCCCCTGAGTTAATTTCCTGTACCATGGAAAAAACAACAGCAACAAAATGAAGAATTGAAATCTTCATTCCTCCTGGATCAACATCTCTGAGCAGGGCTGCTGAGCCTGAGGGTAGGCCTGCAGTTAAGTTGATGGAGTTCATAGCCCGCCAGCCTCTCCCTGCGGTTGAACCATGTAATATTTGTGCGGCAGGCTGTGGAGCTCAGTGCTTGGCATCCTCACATTTTGGGGCTTGTCCTTGTGGTCTTAGCTGTCCTGGTGCATTGCGCTTCTGATCTGCTCTTGCACGGGGCTGGTGATGGTATCCTGTGCTCTGCTGCGCCTCGCGGTTCACCCTTGCCCAGTGCCTGTGTGTCTTCATTTTCTTCCATGTTAGACTACTACTAGTCCTTTGCGACTTCACATTGCACTTTTTTTTTTCTATTTCAGTCTTTTTTTTTTTTTTTTTAAGCTCTGTTTTGATGAACAGAAGTTTTTAACTTGGATGCAGATTGATTTACAAACTTTTTTATGGTTATCACTTCTGTGTCCTTTTTAGGAACTGCTCCTCTACATGGTTGAAAAAGACCCCGATGTCTTTTAGCTTTGCCTGTTGCTTTGGGTCTTGGTTCAGGTTGGACTCATCTTCGTGGGGCTGTAGTGCAACAGTCTGGGATCACTTTCCCCACACGGATGCGCACTTTCCCTCTACTATTTGTTGTTGAGACTTTCTTGTCCCTATTGAATTGCTTTTTTGACACTTTTGCCAAAAATCTTTTGACCATGTGAGTTTTGGTGTGTTAGTCTTGATGTCAGTTGCACACTGTAGCTTTATAGGAAATCCTGAATTCAGGTAGTATAACATTGGTTTTTTTTTTTTTTTTTTTTTAACATTGTTGATTATTCAAGCTCTTTGCATTTTCATGCAAATTTAGAACCAACTGTGAGTATTTACAAAGAGCCTACAGGCATTTTGGTTAGAACCTGTTGAGTCTATATCCAGATAAGCGACACCTCAATTTTGAATCTTCAGTTTTAGGAGCCTGGTGAATCTCTTTATTAGGTTTTCATTCCCTCAACAGTGTTGTATAATTCCCACTGTAGAGGCCAGGAGCATCTTCTGTTATGTTCATTTGCTAATAGAGCACATGATTAGTACGCACAAAGTCCTGAGTTCAATCCCCAGCACCACCACCAAAAAGAAAGAGAAAAGAAAAGCTGGGTGCGGGGCACATACCTGTAGTTGCAGGAACTTGGGAGGCTGAGACTGGAGGATGTTGTGAGCCCAGGAGTTCAGCACTAGCCTAAGCAACAGAGTGAGACCCTGTGAAATTAAAAATGTAGATACATTTCCAGGCTTTTTGTTTTTATTTTTGGGTCCTAGAGACTCTACCACTAAGCTATATCCCCAGCCCTTTCTATTTTATTTTGAGACAGGGTCTTGCTAGTTGAGTTGTTGGAATTTTAGGTGTTTCCACTGTGCCTGGCTCTTTATCCTTTTGATGTCTGTAGGTTCTGTTGTGACGGACCCTCTTTTGTTCCTGATAATTTGGTAATACTTGTCTTCTCTTTCTTGTTCCATTCGGCCAAGGAATTATTAGTTTTATTAATCTTTACATAGACTTACCTTTTGTGTTTATTACTGGGTTTTATACCAATTTTAATTATTGAGGCATTTCTATGTTTCTAATAGTTTTATTATAGTCAGCATATTCTGTATGGTTTCAGTTCTTTTGAACTCATAGAGGCTTATTTTATGACTAGGGTAATGATCTACCTTGGAGAAAATCCCAAGTGCTCTTGAAAGGAATGTGTGAGATGCCCCATCCCAGCTCCTAGCGTGTGCCCAGTGTCACCTGACCTCAGCCATGGGAAACACATTCCTGATTGTTGGTGCTGCCGTGAGCTGGTCACTGTGCCAGGTGCACTTCCTGGTTTCCACAGCAGCCTCACAGGGGCAGATGTGATTCCCATTTTGCTGATAAGGGGTTGAAAGCCACACCATGTTCTGTTGCTGGGTGTCTTGGTCTGTAAATGACAGCCTGCTCACGTTGGTCCGTGGCACCTTTCAGACCCTGTATGTTACGGCTTGTAGATTTGTATCCTTACCTTTTAATTCCGTTGGTTTCTGCTTCTTTTATCTTGAAGCTGTCGTTAAACATACACACATTTATAGTTTGGAGGTCCTTGTCTCTAGTGGTATTTCTTTCTTTCTTTTTTGGTACCGGGGATTGAACCCTGGGGTGCTTAACCACTGAGCCACATCCCCAGCCAGTTTTATATTTTATTTAGAGACAGGGGCTCACTAAGTTATTTAGGGCCTTGCTGAGTTGCTGAGGCCGGCTTTGAACTTGTGGTCCCCTTGCCTCAGCCTCCTGAGCTGCTGGGCTTACAGATGTGGCCATATGCCCAGCTCTGGTGTGTTTCTTGCAGTCCCCCTTGCCCTGTGTCAGCACCCATGGTCTGAATTCCCATGTTGCTCTCGTTGCATATCATTTGCCTTTCAAGCCATTTGTATTTAAAGTGGTCATTAGTGGACAGCATGGATCTATAAGTTGCTTTTTCAACTCCAACTCTGCCCTTTAATTGGATTTTTTTTGGTTCCTCGTTTTGAAAGATAAGAGTCACATAACAAATTTTCATATATAACAAGAAATTTGCCCCTTTAAAATCTCCTGTTTGGTTGCTTTTAGTTAGTCATAAGGTGCGAACATCACCAGGCTCCCACTCCAGAATGGTCCCATCACCCCGTGCTGTAGCAGTACCACCAACCTCCAGTCCCTTGGTGACTGACTCTTCTTCTCCCCGTGCTGGTGGATTTCCATATTCTGCACATTTCACGCGCAGGGAGTCTTGCAGAGAGTGGCTTCTCGCCCAGCATGGTGGTCATCCTGTTGTGTGCACCATCACGATTTGTCTACCCACATGCCAGTTAATGAACACTTTCTGCCACCGGGCTGTGTGGGGTGGGGGTTCCTGGAGCAAGACTGTGCCTTGAGCATTTCCCAGTGAGGTTCTGTGCCGCTAGGGCAGACTGCAGTTTGGTTTCTGCCTGCTTTGCTCACTTTCCTATGCCTTGAAATAACATTTTAAAAACATTTTGAGCAGAATTAACAGTTGTTGTCTGACCCAGCTGCTTTGCTCCTGTTGGACTACAGGACCTCCCTTCCCGGTCACCTGCAGATGAGCAACACCAATGTTCTCATTTTGTTTCAAAATCTTCCTGGGCCCTCTTGTTGTTGTAGGCCTCCACGAAGAAGTAGACTATTCAGAGAAATTGAAGTTCAGCGATGATGAAGAGGAGGAAGAGGTTGGGAAGGATGGCCGGCCAAAGTGGTAAGGTGCCCTGTTCCAGCTCCTAGCATGCGTCCAGTGTCACCTGACCTCAGCCATGGGGAATGCATCCCTACATGTTGGTGCTGCCGTGAGCCGGTCTGTGCCAGGTGCATTTCCTGGTTTCCACAGCGGCATTGCAGGGGCAGATATGATTTCCGGTTTGCAGATAATCATATCTGAGGACAGCTGTTCGGGAATGGAGCCAGGCTTTGTATCTAGGCATGACTAGGACCTGTGCCTTGAATCTCTTGACCTGGACTCGTGTTTTCCCGAGTGTTATGCAGACAGCTTCTTCCAAGGAGTGTTTGTGGTGTCGTGCCCAGAAAAGCTTCTGTGGCCAGGCAGTTTGGAAAGCCACCTAGGTTCAGCTGCCTCCCTCCAGGATCTCCAGGGGCTTGAGCATGCTGCCCAGTGCTGGGGAGGAGGGCAGCAGGAGGTGGGGCAATGCCAGGTCCCACACTCATTGGAGCTCCTCATTCTTCTTCTGGTGTTGGCCTGTGTCACTGGACTGCTTTCACCCAGTACCCACTGGAAAATATTACATCATCATGCACTTGGTTTCTTTAGTTCTCATCTTGGTGTCAGTAGCTCCAGCTGCTGCTATTGAAGTGATGTGATACCTGTGGCTGCCCTGCAGTTTTTCTGCCCTCATTGCCTCTGCAGAACTGCCCATCTCCTTGCCACATGATCACTGCACTTTTTTTGGTGGAGGGTACCGGGAATTGAACTCAGGGCCACTCGACCACTGAGCCACATCCCAGCCCTATTTTGTATTTTATTTAGAGACAGGGTCTCACTGAGTTGCTTAACGCCTCACTGAGGCTGGCTTTGAACTTGCGATCCTCCTGCCTCAGCCTCCCAAGCTGCTAGGATTACAGGTGTGGCCACCGCGCCTGGCCTGCACTTTTTTTTTTTAAAGCATGCTCACTGCTGCCCTGCCTCAGTTGGCAGTGCTTAGTTGTGGCAGGCGTTCTTCCACTTGTTTTCTCATCAGTAACTGCACATTCATGCGGTGGAGCCTGTGAGTCTTTTGCTTGTTATTCCCTCTCTGCTCTGAAGCCCTGCTGTCAGTGCCCCTCTTCTGGAGGGAGCCAGGGACAAGCTTCAATCACTTGTTTCTAGTGAAACACAAAAGAATGAACTAGCTGATGTGCTGGGGCTGTGTCTCTGGGTCAGTTCTCAGAACATGGCGCTCAGAGGAATGTGACCAAGAATTTAAATTGGAAGTAAAGACATGAATGCTGCAGTCTCATGGGAGCAGCAGGACAGTTGTTCTGTCCCTCAGTTGACATGGAGTTAGGCATGGACTTTGGGCCTAGTTTTGCCCCTAGCTGTGACCAAGTACACCTTCAGTTCAAGAATGCTCAAATGACCTCCCCCCACCCCCGCAGACCTGCTCCTCTTCCAGCGTCCCCTGAGCTGGGTGATGGTGTCCAACTCCGAGAGACTCCCTTATGTATTTCCCAGTCTTTATTTCCTCATGGGTGATGGGCTCCTGGAACCTCCCTGCCTCTGCCACGTCCTCCTCTTTGTCTTTGGGGCCCATAGGGCCAGCACCCTCCTTGTCTGACCACCCAGAGGCCACCAGTGTGTCTCCTTTCTCTCACCTGTGCTTGTACTGTGTCTACTTACCTGCCTGAAACGGGTCTTCTCTGATGGGCGGGTCAGAGGCCCTTAACAGTTGCTCTTTCTGTTTTTTCCTCATGCACCTTCCTTGTGTCATGCTCCTGCTTGCTACCGGTGTGTGTGCGGACACGCATGGTGTGTACGTTAACCATCCCCATCAGCCCTTCCTGGCTCTGGACTGCCTCACGGGCACCTGCAGGTGCACCTGTGTCTGGCTGCTGCACTGGGCTGCACCTTGTCCCTCCTGTGAAGCCCCTGGTGCCCCCTCCTCTGCCAGGTGTTCCTTCTCTGCTCCTCCTCCAGCGCTGCCCTCTGTTCCTTGGGGTTCTGGTTGAGCCCCTCCCTGTGCAGAGCCCAGAAGTAGCTGCAGTCTGTGGTTGCAGAGTCCTGCCTCTAAGTTGCTGGCTCCTGCCTGCAGGAGGAGCCCACTAACCTCTGAGGCTCAGTGTCTGCTCTTTCATTGGGGGTAACCAGGGTGTCTCTCCGCAGTCAGTGAAGTAATGAGTGTCACGTGCCCTGCCTGGAACTTTGTGTGAGAGTGACCTGGCAGTGCTGGTTTTGGGTTTGGGGGCTCACCTGCAGAGGGCCGGGAGGGGGGATCTGTTTGATAGGGGAGATTGGTGTATGCACAGCTGGCTTCAGTGCTCCCCGGGGCCCTTGACTGCTGGGATCAGACATGCTTGACTGCCTGGGAATACTTCATGCTGAGTGCCATTTGTCCTAGGAACAGCTGGGACCCGAGAACGCAGCGACAGTTGTCCCTGAGCTCTGCAGACAGTGCTGATGCCAAGCGCACTCAAGAGGAAGGGAAGGACTGGGGCGAAGCTGTGGGTATGTCCCGTGTTGCCCGAAAGGTGCCGGAGCCTCAGCCACCTTCCAGAAAGCTTCATGGCTGGGCATCAGGCCCAGACTACCAGGTACTGTGGACCTGGGGGGTTCTGCACCTAGCTGTTTTGCTGGGACTCTCCCTTCCTCTCTGTCTCTTTCCCACTCTCATTCTCAAAATTCACTTGCCCAGAGTTTCAAAGACAAAGATGACAACAGGTCTTCTAGCCTCTGACCTCTGTTTTGCACTTCACCAAGAACGTGGCTGGGTTCCTGAAAAGTCCCGGGAAACATTTCTTCTGCTTATTTTAAGCATCACAAAGTTACAGAAAAATTGGAATTATAATATGAAGAAGATTTTTTCCCAGCCAACTGGATCAGTTCTCTTGCTGCAGAGCACTGACACTCTTTCGAGGTGACCTTGGTCAAAACCAGGGAGGAGTGTTGATTCTCACTGCCGACTAGTCCTCAGAGCTATCACGTTCCCAGCTGTCACCCAAGGTATTTTGTACCAGGGAAGTCTAGCTCAGAGCCACATGTCACACTTACCCGTGCTCAGTCAGTTCCCCCTCTCCTGGCCTGGGGGCTTCTGAAGTTGCAAGCCAGTCAGACATCCCTCAGGTTGGGCTGTCTGCTGCGTGTGTGCTGGGCCTAAGGCTCCTGTCCTGGCAGGAGATTCTCAGGTTCTTCTTTGCTTTCCACCTGGTGACCTTGACTTGACGTTGGCTTTGGGGACATGTGCTTTGATTTCATGGTTGATGTGGCATCTGCCACATTTTGGCTTTAGAGTTACTCCTTTCTCTGTTATTGACAAGAAACTTTCGGGAAAAAAAAACAAGACTGTATGCAGTCCCTTTACCGTTGTTTATTTTTTTCAGTGACTTGTAACCTTGGCTCCTAGATTGTCTGGTTTGGCTTTGGGAGCCTCTCTGGCCTGTGTTCAGAACTCCTTTCTGTCTGAAGGATAACCCAGTCCACACTCCTCCTATCTTAGACCTCACTTTGCCCTGGATTAACCCTTTCTCCAAGAAGTCCTGGTTCCTTTGATTGACATTATGTTTAGAAACCAGTCTCTAGGCTCTGGGAGCCCCCGGCTATTGGGTGTCTCTGTTCCTGGGCCTTCTCCTGGACGCAGAATGTGTGTGTCAGCACGCGTGTTCAGAGCTGTGCTCTTTCTGGATCTGTCTCTGTTGGAAACCCTGAGGTTGCAGGACTGCCTCCAGTTCCAGGGAATCCTCTCCTCTCCTCTCTGTTGGTTGGTTCTCTTTCCTGCAGCAGTGAGAAGTCACGTTATCCCTAGGTTTTATCCTTACTGGCTCAGCACCTGCTTGGGACTGGTTTCCCCTTCTGCTGCCCCTCCCTGCCTGCACAAGTGCCCTCCCCCTCTGACATCACCCCTGTTTCACAGTGCCCTGAATGTCCCTGCTCAGTGCTCTCCTCATGGTTGTCCTCTCTGCCCACTTGGGCTCCGCCTCCCTCATGAGGCCACCTTTCCATGTGCACACTTTCATCTTGCTGGCTAGAGCCACCTGCTCTGAGCCAGTATGACTCCCTGGCCCCAGATACCTACATGACCTGGCCACAGCTAGTGGCATCAGGGCTGAATTGTTCAGGAGGCTGTGGACTGGGTAGAAGAGGCACTATTTTGAGTAGTCTAGGTGAACTTGCCATTTTTAATTTGGGTTCTCCTTCTGCACTTTCTTACCTTCAGTCTTATTAAGTACCTGGTTTGCCAGGCACTGTGCTGGGCATAGGGCAACAGAGTGAAAATAGAATGCATACAGTGCCACTCCTGGAAATTATCTTGCAGGGGGTTTAAATTTTCACTCATATATTGATTGGGGTAGCTCAGTATTCAAAAAGTTTCACTTTAATCTGGTCATATGCTAGAAGTTAACTGAAAAAGGCAACAGGAACAAAATTTATATAATTTATGCACCCAAGTGTATTCTGACCAAATCACTGACTATTCTATGAAATGATGGATAGCCATAGGGCAGCCTAGTGGATGCACCAGAGGTCTTGACAGTGGACACAGAGTTTGTGATCCTGTTTCTAGGAAATTGTCTAAGTGGAATAACCCAAGTGTAAGGCTGTGTTGAGGTTCACCTGGAGGGTGGGTGAGCACCAGTGAGCAAGTGGTTAATGGTATGAGCCCTGAAGAGATCAGTGAGTAGCCCTGCCCTTGGCACAGGCAGTGGTTCAAGTTCAGTGGCAAAGTGTAAGGAAAGTGCACAGTTGGGTCCAGAGTATATCATGTAAAAATCACCTTCCTGCTTTTCAATTGGAATTTTAATCTTCTGATTATAGCAATTATCTCTGATTGTAAGAAGTTGGTTTTAGGAGACAATGTCTCAAATACAGCACACGTGGCTTATTCCTCCTACCGAGGTTCAGTTAACCCATGCAAGATGACAGAGCTCTTGCTTATTTCTGCTCAGTGGCCTTGACGCCTTTGTAAATACCATTCAGAACAGGGCATCTTTTTTTTTTTTTTTTTTTTTGAGGGGGTTCGGCTGCACATCTCCCCCCTTGGTGCCATTCAGGGGTGCATCTGTACCCTGCAGGCCAGGGAGGCACCCCCCTGGTGCTGAGGATATTCATGCTGCGTGTGTAGCACCATGCTCACCCTGTGACCAGCAACTAGCAAGAGGCTCAGGAATGGAGGTGCATCTCAAAGGGACACTTTGAGATGAGCTTTTTCATTTCTGTATAAAGGCCAACTTGAAGCTGTGTGTCTCACAGTGAATTTCATTTTCTCACGGATCTGTTTACTCAAGGACTCTTGTATTTTCATGGGGCAGAAGAACGGTTTTATGACTAAGGAGTGATGCGTGTTGACTCCTGCACCCTTGGACACCCTAGTCTTGTGTGCTTGTTGGCAATGGTGAAATCATCTCGTGTCCACCACAGAGCTGAGTACTTGTGAGCATCTGTTTCACCTGCACAACCCCCAGGGCTTCCTTTATTGGCCCCATTTTACAAATGAATGACTAAATGACATTTCTACATAGTCAGGGACAGAGCAGGACCAAAACCAGGTCCAGGTGATATTGCACTTGCCTTGCACGTAGAAGACTCTGGCTTCCATCCTTAGAAATTTAAAACATAAGTAAATAAAACCCAGGTCTGCCTGTGGTGCCACTGTGCTGCTTCTCAAAGGTGTTCCAGGATCGCTGGAAGGAGAACTGATCCCACAGAGGCAGTGGCCCCTGCCTGTTGGGTTTGTGACCCACCATCTCATCAGAGGCTCTGTTCTCTTAGCAGAAATCCTCAGTGGGCAGTGTGTTCCGGCAACAGTCTATCGAGGACAAGGAGGATAAGCCGCCCCCGAGGCAGAAGTTCATTCAGTCAGAGATGTCCGAGGCCGTGGAGCGGGCACGAAAGCGCAGGGAAGAGGAGGAGCGCCGAGCCCGGGAGGAGAGGCTGGCAGCCTGCGCTGCCAAGCTCAAACAGCTAGACCAGAAGTGCAAGCAGGCCCAGAAGGCCAGTGAGGCCCAGAAGGCCAGCGAGGCCCAGAAGCAGGTGGAGAAGGAGGTACCTCGGTCCCCAGGCACCGAGAAGGCCCCCCCACAAGAAAATGGCCCTGCTGTCTGCAAAGGTAAGAGGCAGGTCCTCCCGCCAGCTGGAACCTTGGACTGGGCAGTGGTTTGCTGTTCCCATTCTCCAACTTGTTAGCAGCCTGTAGCTAGGGCTAGATTACATTGAAAGTGCCAGAATAGAGGCCAGGGTCATGTGCCTGGGTCTGGTCCTGTTTTGAGTTCTTAATCTAGCTGGTGAAATGCCTCGCCTCTCTAAAGCGTGGCACGTGCTGGCATGCTGAGGGGCATGTGAAATGCTGCACATGTGCAGGGCGGGGGGTGGTGCTGGGCGGGAGTGTCTGGAAGGCCTGAGTAGTCTTGCTGATAGTCTCCCTCTTGTCATTCTTGTGGCTGTTACCATTACTGCGCAGTTACACGAGGCACAGATGATAAAGGACATTCACAAAGCACAGGGTCCTCTTATGCAGAGGGGAGGAGCCCACCTCTTGTTAGAATGCATTCTCTTTGTGCCAGAGCTTGCACAGTGCTGCATGACCAACAGACGTGGCAGCAGGGGGCGCTCTCCAGGAAAGCCAGCTGTGTCTCTGTCATCTCCTTCAGTCCCCTCATGTCACCTCTTGTTAGGAGACAGAGGCCCATATTAGACACAGGCCCTGAAATCTACAGGATGGGGGATGTTTGATCTGGTAGCCATGTGCCCTGGCCAAGAAGCTCAGAGAAATTAAGTTTTCTTCTGTCTTTTTTTTTTTTTTGGTACCAGGGATTGAATCCAGGGGTCACTTTACCACTGAGCCACATACCCAGCCCTTTTGAACTTTCAATCCTCCTACTTCAGCCTCCCGAGTTGCTAGGATTACAGGCGTGTGCCACCGCGCCCAGCTCTGCTCTCCTTTCACAGTCTCAGCACTCGGGGAGGGGCAGTAGAGAGACTGCGGGGAGCATTTCTCCTGGGCAGGCACAGTTCACTGTCTCATTCGGTCCTCATGTGAGTCCTGTGGAGTGGGCGTGACTGCTATCCTTCCTTACAAAGGAGGGAACACAAAAGGAGAAACTAAACCTGTGCCCAGGTCACACCACCTGTGGACATGGGGGATTCATCCTGTTTGGGGAATGGCCACTCTCGGGCTACCAGAGTCCTCTATCTATCAGACCTCCGCTCATAGCTGACTCTGATCACATGCACGTCCGCTGACCTCCTGGTCCTTGTCCCCATCTCTAACGTGGTTGTGGGTACAACCCGCTCACAGTGTCCTGTGGGGAATCCAGGAGCTGGTGCCCAAGGAGTATGTAGTGTGGGCTGGGCCCAGCACTGAGTCCTGCACAGAATGTTCCTGCCCACAAGAGAAGCACTTGCTGTTCAGCCATTGGTCACCTGAGTGCTGTGAGCTCACTGTGGCTTCTCTTTGCTTGCTCATTCTCTAGGCTCCCCAGAATTCCCTGCCCAGGAAGCCCCCTCCACTTTCTCAGAGGAGGCACGCACAGCTTCCCCAGCTGTGGGTCAGAGCAGCAGCAGTGAGGAGGAAGCCAGGGAGGCTGGGTCCCCTGCACAGGAATTCAGCAAGTATCAGAAGTCCCTTCCTCCACGGTTCCAGCGCCAGCAGCAGCAGCAGCAGCAACAGCAGGTGAACACCGAGCGACGGCCCCTCCTGTGCCCTCCCGTGCTGTTGCCCTCATGCATCCCGCTACCACACAGTCGTGCAGGGGTCACATTCCAAACTTGTGACTCTGTAGACCACCCCACCATTATTCTTCCCAGTGCTAGGTGCCCCCCGAATGAATACCACCCTTGTTGTGGTTTTCTAGGACATGAGGTAGTGGGGTACACGCTGAGCTCCACTGGCTTGGGTTGAAGAGCAGCAACCTCTCACACGCTGGGGACCCCTGGGGTCCTCCAGGACAGAGGCTGTGGGCTATACCAGGAGCTGTCAAGTGGGACGGGGTTCCTGAGTGTCTAGGGTTCCTGTGCCAGTGGTGGTTCCTGACTAGTCACATGTAGCTGTGGCCCGTGGTGTCCTGGTTGGCTAGGCTTGTCAAGCCCCTGCTTCTCCACGTGTGATCTGGGAAGGGCAAAGACTGCTTCACTGTGGCAGCAGGAGCCTCGTGTGGTGTGACAGTGATGCCTATGAACTGAGAAACACCAGCACCATCGCAGTCAGCCTTTGGTAAACCTTCAAAGGGACCTGCTTTGGGCCCTGAGAAACTCACATGGCCAGTTCTGCCCTGGTGCTCTCGCAGGCCGGTAGTCCCTCTGCTTAGCATGCTGTGGAGTGAGGCAGCCTCACAGCCTTGCTGGGAACCGAGCCTGGGGTGGAAACTGAGCTGACATGGAGGAGTCGCTTGGTGGGAGCCCAGCACTTGGGTGTGTAATACATTATTATTAATTAACATCAACCGAAGATTCTTCACAATGTGTATGCTCTGGCAAAACAGACCACGGCCTCAGCCTTTCCCTAGCATTTCCTTTGATTTCTTATAAAACCGTCAGCCCAGCTTCTCTGCCGCAGGTGTCCAGGAAGCGTCTCTGGGCCCCACTGTCCTGTGAGTAGTCCATGGGCTTGGAGTAGGATTATCCTTGGGAGAGATCCCTGGAGTTACTTGTGCCAAAACACTGCCGTCACAGCGACTGTAGGCAACTCTTCACGGGGAGTAGGGGGGACGGTGGTGGGGAAACCCTTCCTGAGGGTAGAAGGACACCTGCAAGCACCAGGGCAGCCTGGCTGGTTTGGTCCCCTGGGGACCTGTGTGAGACAGGAGGAGCTGTGGGGTGCAGGCCAGTATGGCTGGAGGCGGAGCTCTAGTCTCCTGACTGCTGAGCTCTGTTTCTTAAGTGTTCCTCAGAGGTGCAGTGAGTGCCAGTGGAGCCCCCAGGGAATCCAGCCCAGGACAAGCTGTGGACAGCCAGCTGGACAGGTGGCCTTTGTGTTTGCAGAGTCCAGGATATGTGCTGGAAGCCTGTTGGGCAGGCCATCCTTGGGATCTGCCATGAGTCCTGCTGGGCTGCTGACTCAGGGTTCACTGGGGAAGTCGGCACCCTCTGTCACTGATGCTGTTCATTCCTGTTCCCAGGCCAACCAGGCGTGCTGGCCTCGTGACTTAGGGAGCTCAGCGACACACCTGCAAACCCCAAGCACTGCAGGAAGTACAGTTCTTTGGGACCAGAGGATGGGCCTGGGCTCAAGGGTCTTTTGGTGGCTTCCCAAGGAGACCCAGAGTTAGTGACAGACAGGCCTAGAATGTTCCATGTCCCGGCATGTGCAGGCAGAGCTGTGTGGAGCAGAGAGCTGGGGCCAGTCATGGAGTTGAAGCCAGGGAGGCAGATTAGGCATGGTCCACGGGACACTGTGGGTCACCTGTACCCTGGTAGGTCAGTGGTTGTAGGGCACGGGGGGACCGCTGAAGGTGCTTTTGAAGCTCAGAGCCAACGGCTGGGTGCGAAAGATGACCCTTGCTGAGTAGAGGATGGGACTGGGACAGGAATGATGGCCGTCCTTGGGTGGTGGCTGTAGACCAGCGTCCTGTGGGAAGTGTGCTGGTCTGTTGGTCAGTTTCAGTGGGATGTTTCATCTACATGGAAGCCTCATGTGTCGAGGGGAGCACCAGTGTACCTGGCCCCTGTTGTGGTAGGCATGACTGCCCACCCAGCCCTGGGAGACTCCAGCCTGATGGTTGTGCTGTTGGGGCTCCCCTCCAGGCAGCTGCCTGTCTCCTCCCTCCTGGAGGGCTTTCTGTGCCACATGCCAGAACGCTGGAGACTATGGTCGCTTACCCCTGTCTGATCAGGTCTCTCTTCTGGGTCAGGAGCAGCTGTACAAGATGCAACACTGGCAGCCGGTGTATCCCCCGCCTTCCCACCCGCAGCGAACCTTTTACCCGCACCACCCCCAGATGCTGGGCTTCGACCCCAGGTGGATGATGATGCCTTCCTACATGGACCCTCGGATCACACCCACCCGGACCCCTGTGGACTTCTACCCCTCAGCCCTGCACCCTTCAGGTGAGCACGGGGCTGGACAGTGGGTGGTTAGGGTGGCATCTCAAGAGCGAGGCTCTTGGCGTTCGTTCTGGCCTCCAGGACTGGTCTGTGTCTTGCAGAGCGCAGGTAAGGTTGTGTTCCTGTCCTGGACACTTACTGGAAGAAAGCAAGACCCCACATTTTAAATGGCTCAAAGTGATTTTGAGGTCTTGCTGCCTCACACAGTCCCTTTCCATTCTCACTGTCTTTGCATATTGTCTCTTTTTCTTCCTTCATTGGTCTTTCCCAGGGTTTTTCTAAGGCCTTTTTAAAATCAGAATTGGGGTTTCTTATTTTTCCTTTATTTTTTTGGGGTTTTAGTTAATCATTTTCTTCTTTCTACCGCCTTATTTCTCTTGAAATTATTCTGTTTATTTTGTAAGTGATTGTGTTGGACACTTGATTCAATAATTTCTGACTTTCAAGATGACCTTCATGGTGTCAGTTTCCAGTGTTGCGGCGTTGTGGCCAGGTATGATGGTCTGATGTGAGCCGGGGGCCAGCAGACTTCTCGCCTGTGGCCAGGCGTCGCATGTCATGGGCTTTGGTCAGCTCTTCAGTTCTGCTGTCGTAGGAAGAAGCAGCCAGGGGCAAATCGTGAATGAGTGCATTTGGTTGTTTTCCAGTAAAACGTCATTTAAACAGATAACAAGCCAGATTGTGTTCAGAGGCTTTGACTCTCGGTTGGCTGCCATTTGTTGAGGTTTTCTTTGTAGGCTGTTACAAAGTCAGTTTTTTATTTTTTCCTGTTTGTTTTCTTCTTTATTCTTTTTGCCTGAAAAGAATCTGTGTTCTGTTGGATGAGTCCGTTCAGTTGAGTTTGCCAGTTGTGTTGTACAAGTGTTTCTTGTGTTACATTTTTTATCTCCTTAATTAGTTACTGAAAGGTGTGTAGAATCACCCTGCACCAGGGGCTGGGGGCTTAGTAGCTTAGTACATTGGTAGAGCCTGTGAGTGTGTATCAGGCCCTGGGTCCAATCAGTAGCATAAAAAGAGAGAAAAGAGAAAACAACAACAGCAAAGCTCCCAATATGGCCGTGGACTTGTCGGACCCTCCAGCAGTGTCCATCTTTGGAGGCACAGAGTGTGGAATGACATCTATTCCTATTGTCACCTACCTGCTCCGGTAGTGTTTTTCTGCCTTTACCATCTGCTTTGTCCAATAGTAGCACAATGATGTCAGTTTCCTTTTGATTAGAACTTAGAGTCTCTTTTGTTCAGTTTTTTGCTGCCATTTCTCTGAGTCCTTATTTCTAGGGAGTGCATAAATTTTTGTATACAAGACCTATATGGTCTTACTCTGAAAATTCTATGGCTTTTAACTACCAAAGTTGCTCCCTTTACATTTATTCAAATTTTATATTTAGATTTTCCCATTAATCTGTCTTATGCATTCCGCTTATCCTACTTTCTGTGTGTGTGTTTCCCTTCTACGTTCTGTTTCTTATGTTAGTGACATTAAAATCCTAACATGAGGGGCTGGGGATGTGGCTCAAGCAGTAGCGCTCTCGCCTGGCATGCGTGCGGCCCGGGTTCGATCCTCAGCACCCACATACAAACAAAGATGTTGTGTCCACCGAAAACTAAAAAATAAATATTAAAATTCTTAAAAAAAAAAAAATCCTAACATGAGGACTGGGTACACCTGGTGGTAGAGTGATTGCCTAATATGTGTGAGACACTGGGTTCCAGCCCCAGCACTGCCCCCCCCCAAAAAAAAAAAAATCCTATCGTGCCCTCTTGACCTACAGAAGGGTCTCCACCTTCATCTGAACCTGCTGACCTCTGTCTTTATTCTTGTGCCCACACCCACAGTTACCGTTTTGTCATCTTCTCTGTGCTATTGAGCTGGGCCTGCGTGTTCCCTTGTCTGATGGCCTTTCTTCACCTGGGGTGGGCCTGTGTCATCTCTGACAGTCTTCTGCCATTGGGGTTTCTGGCCTGAACAGAGAGCTGCAGGCAGGTGCTCTTCCTCTGGGTGCTGTGCAGATCTTCCTGTTTTCTTCTGGCTCCTCTTGCTGCTGAAAACTTGATCCATTCTTAGGTCTTCTGTGCTGTATTGTCTCTGGCTGTTTTCGAGGTCTTGTCTTGGGTGTCCTTGGTTCTGTCACTATGTGCTGTGTTCAGATGGACCTCTCCGATTACTCTGCTTGCGAGTCCTTGTGCTTGAATCTAAGGTGTACCTCTTTCCCCACTTCTGGAAGATTCTCTTCCGATAATTGCTTCAAGTTATTGACTCTCCTTGTTCCTTTTTCTTCTTTGTATTTAGGTCTTTACTTTCTGGTACTGGGGTAGCCCCTAGCACATAGGTCCTGACCTTGCAAGTGATGGGCCGGGGCTCTACCACTGGGCGACATCCAGACCCTCCTTGTTCCTTTTATCTTTTTTTTCTAGGTCCTGCTCTAGGTTTATTATGTACCTTCCATGCTGTCTTTTAAGTGTCTTAAATCAGAGAAAGTGAAAATGAGCAGGCGTTGCCCCTTTGTTGCCTTCCAGGAAGCCCCTGGCTGTTCCCAGGACACTTCTCTCCCCAGCTGAGTCTGTCTACTTTTATTACTGTCCAGTGAGGTGTTTGTTTTTTTTTTTTGTTGTTTGTTTGTTTTTTTAATATTTTCTAGTTGTGAATGTACCTGTATTTTATTTATATGTGGTACTGAGAATCGAACCCAGTGCCTCACGCATGCTAGGCAAGCACTCTACCACTGAGTTACAGCGCCAGCTCTGTTCAGTGAGGTTTTTTTAAGTTTTTAAAAAATTTTTCTTTTATGTTCTTAATTATTTCAAATGTGATTTCTTAGTGATTTCCAGATGGCTGTGCTGTCTGAAGTCTTGAGGACTCACTGTGAGCTCATGGTGAATACTCAGCACACGTGTTCTGGTGGTTTTGGATCTAGTTTGGTTTCAGGAAGCAGTGTGGATCGGGTTGAGGGCATGTTCCTCCATAATCTCTTTAGCTGGAACCACCCTTGATGGCAGGTTTCTGGACTATTCTGGGAGTTAGAAATTTGAACCCCTTCTGCCTAGATCCCCATGGAAGCAGCCATGGGGTTTCTGAATTCCAAGAGAGTGCTTTTTCCTGCCCAGATCCAGGCACTCAGCCCTGCTGAAAATCACGCATTCTCCAGTGCACCTGACAGGCATGGGCAGAGGCTGGGAGAGGCACAATTTGTCCAGGTGCACTTTGGAGGGTCTCTGTTTTGAGCAGGTTCCATTTGCACTCCTTGTCCTATGAAGGTGCTGAAGACCAAGCCTGAGGGTTTCCAGGCTGAGCTGCCCTTCTTTCTGATCTTCAGGGTGCTCCAGCTCCTGCACTCGTAGCTCTGGTTTTCAGCTTCTGGAAGTTACTATTTTTTTGTGAACACAGTTCTGCAAGCAAAACATTTGATCTAGGGCTGGGGATGTGGCTCAAGCGGTAGCGCGCTCGCCTGGCATGCGTGCGGCCCGGGTTCGATCCTCAGCACCACATACCAACAAAGATGTTGTGTCCGCCAAAAACTGAAAAATAAATGTTAAAATTCTCTCTCTCTCTCTCTCTCTCTTTCTCTCTCTCTCATTCACTCTCTCTTTAAAAAAAAAAAAAAAAAATTTGATCTATTCTGCCCAGCCCTTTTGTGACAGTAGGGGTTTTCGGGTCTTCATGTAGCCACAGACAGGGCAATGTGTGCCTCATGAGGAATGCGTAATGAAAGGCACGAAGCTGTGGGTTTCCAGGGAATCCTGCCCACCTTGAATTGGACCAGCTGTGCTGGAGTCCCCTGTCAGCAGCACTTGAGCAGAGTCCAATGGCTAGTGCAAAGCTTCTGACTGCTGGCCTGATGCTGAACCATCTTCTCACCAGATGAGCTGCAGTCAGGAGACAGGCGCGACAGTGTCATAGGGCTTTGAGTATTTCAGAGTCAGATCTGTTTCCTTGCAGATGTAAGCCCAGACCTGGGCAGCACCTGTGCCAGCCCCACTGCCTCACCTGACAGGCATGGGCAGAGGCTGGGAGAGGCACGATTCGTCCAGGTGCCCAGCCAGTTACAGCTGGTGGGACCTATATGCTGGTCCAATCTGGCGAGTTAGCAGTTTTTTTGTTTTGTTTTTAACATTTTTTATAGTAAATGGACACAGTACATTTATTTTATTTATATATGGGGCTAAGGGTCGAACCCAGTGCTTCACATGTGCTAGGCAAGCGCTTTATCAACTGAACTCCAATCCCAGCCCAAGTTAGCAGTTTTTTTGTTAATTTTCAACTGCCACCCTCCTCCCTCACCGCATTCCCAAAATCTCCCCGTACACCATATGTAGTGTTGCCATCCTTTTTGGAGTTAGGGATAAAAAGAAATAAACTCAGCCTAAATCTTCCTGCAAGGATTCGGAAGTAGACAGTGCTGGCTGCCATTCTCACATGCTCTCTGGGATGTGGCTCTTCTGCCTAGGTCTGAACTGGAGAGCTTCCAAGCATCTCTGCTGCACAGCACTCCTCAGCTTGCTGACCCCGTGGCCTCTGGTTAGCACTGAGGGATTCCACTTGTCATTTCCAGTTTGCATGTCCCAGTTTTATTACCCTTTGATATAGACACTTGGTCTGAGAACTCAGCTTGTCTCTGCAGGTCTTTGAACAGGTCAGGTGGCTTCAGGGTCCCTGGTCAGAAAAGAGTGAAGGCCACTATTCTGGAGTGGGGTGCTGTGTCCACGGGCAGGCCGAGAGACTTACTGTTCCACGTAGCTGGCTGGTTGCCATGGGGCTTTCTAAATGACATGATTCAGAATTGTCCTTTATCTTTGCCAGGACTGATGAAGCCCATGATGCCCCAAGAGTCCCTCAGTGGGACTGGATGTCGTTCTGAAGATCAGAGCTGTGTGCCCCCACTCCAAGAAAGAAAAGTGACCGCCATCGATCCAGCTCCCGTCTGGAGCCCAGAGGGCTACCTGGCTCTGCAGAGCAAAGGCTACTCATTGCCCCACCCAAAGTCAAGCGACACTTTGCCTGTGGATGTGCGTGTCAGGAATGAAAGCTCTTACTCTGCCTCCCCCGGAAGGTCAGGGGGCGTAAGTGCCCAGCGCCATCTCTTTGAGGAGAGAGGGGAGGAGTACTTGAGTGCTTTTGACAAGAAGGCCCAAGCAGACTTTGACAGCTGTATCTCTTCTCAAAGAATAGGCCAGGAGCTTTTATTTCCACCCCAAGAAAATGTTCAGGAGGCGGGCGCTCCTGGGGGCCACGCCCAAAACCTCAGGCGTCCCCCGCTGGAGCCTGACTTTGTCCCAGTTGAGAAAAAGCCAGAGTTTTGCAGCTGGGACATTGGCCACCAGCCAAAGGCCCCCGACACAGCCAAGGGTGTTGAGCAGGAGGCGCCTCGGGAGGAGCCTTCCTTCCATGCTGCCTCCTGGGAGAAGGAAGGGAGCCCTGACAAACAGCCAGACCCAGAGCCCGAATGGACACCTGAGCCCCGGAATTCCAGTAGCCAGCACCAGGAGCAGCCAGGCAGGACCCGGAGATCAGGACCCATCAAAAAACCGGTCCTCAAAGCCCTGAAAGTGGAGGAGAAGGAGAAGGAGCTAGAGAAGGTTAAGCGGGGGCTCGGGGAAGAGAGTGCACGGCTGGCCACAGAGAARCCTGAGCAGGATGAGGACGAAGAGAACGACCCTGCCCTGGCCAACGCCTCCCCTTCCGCTCTGGAGGACAAGGCCTCCACCCAGGCTGGGTCCAGCCACGAGGCCAGCAAATGGGATGCGGATGAGGATGAGAAGCCTGACAAGGCCTGGGAGCCCAGACCGTCCCGAGAGAACAGCGACATTCCCCCCACCAAGAGAAACAACTGGATCTTCATCGACGAGGAGCAGGCCTTTGGGGGCCGGGGGCAGGCCCGCAGCCGGGGCCGAGGTTTCAGAGAATTCACTTTCCGAGGTCGGCCAGCCGGGGGAAATGGAAGCAGCCTGTGTGGCGGGGGCGTCCTGGGGGCCCGCGGCATCTACAGCAGCAGCCAGCGGAGTGGCCGCGGTCGGGGCCTGCGGGAGTTCCCCCAGCCAGAGGACAGCCCCAGAGCCAAGCCGCGGCGGCGCATCGCCAGCGAGACCCATAGTGAGGGCTCCGAGTATGAGGAGCTGCCCAAGCGGCGCCGGCAGAGGGGCTCAGAGAGCGGGACGGAGGGCTCGCTCCTGGGGCGGGAGGAGGGCGCCCTGCAGACGGACTCCTGGCGCTCCAGCAAGGCGTACCCCGAGGACCAGAGCGGCCCGGAGGCCAAGGGCCGGGGCCCTCGGGCCTGTGGCCGTGCTCTCCCGCCCAGGCTGAGCAACGGCAGCTATGGGCGCAGGGCCTTCGCCCCCAAGGAGCCAGTCCCCTGGCAGAGCAGGAGCCCRGGCAGCTCCTGGCAGGAGTAMGGTCCTGCCGACACGGGTGGGACCCGGCGTGCCGCGGACAAAGACTACGTCCCTGACTCCTACCGACATGCGGACTCGTTTGGCAGCAGGGCCTTCGAGGACAGCCGCTTGGAGGACAAGCGGTCCTTCTTCCAAGATGACCATGTTACAGATTCTGAGAATGCAGAGAACCGGCCATTCCGGAGGAGGCGCCCCCCACGCCAAGACAAGCCCCCGCGCTTCCGGCGGCTGCGGCAGGAGCGGGAGTCCTTGGTCCTGTGGGGACCAGAGGAGGAGGCCCCCCTGCTGGCGGGCCAGTGGCCGGGCCGGCCCAAACTCTGCCCTGGGGACAAGGGTGGCGCAGGGGGCCGCAGGYCCCCAGACCCATCCTGCCACAACTCCTCTGACCATGCCAACGAGGAGTGGGAAACGGCCTCTGAGAGCAGCGACTTCAGCGAGCGCAGGGAGAGGCGCGGGGGCCCAGGGGAGCCCGACCCGCAGGGGGACGGTGGCCTGTCTGGGGCCGGTCTGGGTGAGAAGAAGGAACTGGCCAAGAGGAGCTTCTCCAGCCAGAGGCCCCTGGCTGACAGACAGAGCCGCAAGCTGGAGCCGGGAGGGTTTGGGGAGAAGCCCGTTAGGCCAGGTGGTGGTGAGACGTCCCCCCGCTATGACAGCCAGCAGAGCGGGACACCCTTGAAAGCCAAAAGGTAACCGAGAGCACCACCCCAGGCCCCTGTTGTTGTCCCCCCGCGCAGCAGCCCCGAGTCCATGCATGCATGCCCGCCGGGCCACGCGCTGCCGGCCGCTGTGTGTCAGCGTCTCATCCTGCTCCTGCATCGCTTGTCTGCTTCTCACGATGTGTCCTTGTTGTTGTGGCCTGACAGTCTGAGCCTGAAGTGTGCCCTGCCCCACCCTGTGCCTTGTGGCTGCAGCCTTGTCCCTGCCAGGGTTCAGCCTCTGAATGGTCCTTGGAGCCCTGTAGTAAGGGAATTGCCTATATGTGGCACCTGGGAGCACTGGCCAGTCCACCTGATCCCTCTGCTCCTCAGACAGCTGGGCAGCATCCTGGAAGGCCTCACTAGCCTTCTGGCTGCACGGAGGACGGCTCTTCTTCCCCCAGCAGCTCTGCTTCTCTACCACTTCCTTGGTGTGGTCAGAGTTGCCAGAGCAGCTGGGAGCAGCCGCCTGCAGCCCAAGGAACATCTCTCCTTTGGAACCAGAGGTTTCTTAGGTGGACAGTCTGTGCTTGGTGTCACTCATGGCCCACAGGCTCCTGTGTGGGGAAGGGTGGCTTTGCTGACTCTGCCTACTCCATGTCTCAGAGGGGACATGCAGGGGTGTTAAGGCACCTCAGCACACTGACGCTGCCTGTCCTCCTTAGAAGTTCAGGGGTGTTTCTATCCCTAAAGAAGGAGCCTCCGGAGAGTGCTAGTTTTTCAGGTGTTAGTCTGACCTTGCTCTCTGGGGCCCAGAAGCCCCGACTTGGCTCTGCCCTGAGCCTCATAGCAGGGCAAGGCCAGGGCTGCTGGCTGCTGGCTCAGAACAGAAAGGCTGGCAGCCCTGTCTGAAGTGTGCCCCATCTTCCCTCTCTTCCTCTGCGCGTGCTGAACGCAGCAGGCAGTGGGAGAGAAGAGAGCACGGAGGGGGGTGGTGAGGGCAGCTCTTTCCTGCCCAGGGCTCTGCCCAAGCAGTGTGGGCTGGGCTCTTCTTGGAGTAGGTGTCGGTCCACGAGGCTACTGTTCATGTGGCCTAGAAGAAGGAACTGACCTGGGCCAGGCTGCTGTGTGCGTGCAGGCTGCGTGCACTTGTGGGTTTTTTTCTTTCTCTTTTGCTAGCCTTTGGGCGTCTCTGATTTCACAGATCTTTTTTGCTTTATAGGTCCCCGGATGAGGCCCTGCCTGGAGGCCTTGGCTGCAGCAGTGGGAATGGCCACTCGCCTTACACCCTAGAGCGGGCCACACACGCCAACGC